ACCCGGAACCCTAAACCCTACACCGCCTAAACCCTAAACCCTAAACCTTTGAGCAGTCGGCTTCTGGTCGGAGGACTTAAAAATTGATCTTGGTGGCCTCTTTGAAGCCGAGAGTTCCCAGGGCCTGGCCCAACTCCCACAGTGCAAGGAGGGGGGAGCGAAGGCACCTGAATTCCTACTGAAAGCAACTCAAAGCAATTTGGGCACGATGCCAACAATGCCCACAGGTTCTTTAACATCATCTTCGGAGTGATCTTTGCCTCCGTGATCTTTTACTTCGAAGGCCGAGAGCCAGACATGCACAGGTCCTGCCAGAAAATGAGGCAAGCAAGCCGGGAGATGTCTGTGGGAAGCTCGAGACCCCAAACAGCTGAACTTTACGGCAAACCGTGAAGCCCTTGTACCGATGCAGGCTTGAACTTAGCGGCCACTTTTCGAGGTCCCATAAGGTATATGCGAGGCCAATCATAAGTCTTTAGACAGAGGACAGCGATAAGTTTCGCCTTTCTCTCAAACAGCACGAGGGGCCTAGAACGGGTATGTTGGGGCATGACAGCCCGGGGTGACCGAGACTAGGTATGAAAGTCCCGCAACACACAAAAGTCCTAGTGCCCAAAGTGCTCCAACGCCCACTCGGACAAAGCAACAAGTATAGGCATCCGCACACATGTTATCATGCATCATGTTGTAAACATGCAAAGACATAAACAAATAAACAAATCCAAAACACACACACACACACTCACACACACACACATATACACATACATATATATGTACATACACATAGAGAGAGAGGGAGAAATGGAGAGAAAAAGAGAGAGAAAGAGTGTTTCGCCAGGCTCCGAATTCTCCGTGGACGACCAGTTCCTGCAAAATGGCTTCCCACGAGGCCAAGTCGAGAAGGTAACAGACTTTTTTGGGGCATGCACTGCTAACGGCTCTATCTTGTGGAATAGGGAGTTTGGTCAGACCAGGTATGCTCTGCGAAGCACGATTTCGTGTGCGGCAGTCTATAATTTCAGGTATAGTGCTGCCGATAAAAGTCAGTTGTTCATCCGGCTCCGGTAACCATGAAGCCGTTTCAACACTCAAAGGCTGCGGTGACATGAACAGAAAGTTGGATCCGCCGAACTCATGACAGTGCTGTACAAATGAGAACGGTAGTTCTGTCTTGCTGATAGTTCCAATCCTTCAACAAACATGCAGACATGATGCAGGTCAAGAGTACTTGCACTACTGTGACTTCTTAGGGTCACTATCATTGTGCGCACTGTGCTCCTCGGGAGCCCAGCCTTGCAAAGCGTTGCAGGATACAAAGTGCTGTACAAAACATGTAGGGAGGGGGGGGAGGGGGGTGGGGAGTTCCAGTCCACTTCCGCCAAAACTGGCACATAGGAGAATGTAGGGTTGGACATGCCGTGGGTATGTACGCTTCTATCCGCCCGACGTTCATCAAAGAGACCTCAACGATGCTGAGAATTGCACGCAGAGGTCCCGTGAAGTTCGTAAGCTCGGCCTGTCATGAAACCAGTGCAAGGCGTCTTTGTTCGAATGGATACCTACCGGCCTCTCGTCCACAGGAGGTTTGGGCAAGAACTTCTGAATTTGGCCCATTTGGGACCGAGGATTTTAAGGCACTGCATGCGAGCCGAAGTACTTGCCAATATCATCGATTCACCTATTGTAGCATCTTCTACAGCCATGTACGTAGTAGGGTCCTAGTAGAGTAGGTCAGCAATTTTTATCAACATTCGATTTATGCTCGGAGGTATCATGATGGACATGCCTTTGCCACCCATGCCTTTTTTACAGGAATGTCGCCCTGGCACACTGCTTCATTATTTGATGTGAGAGCCCTTTCGTCTGCAAAGCCTCGGCGACCGCTGCTGCATCCCTCCGTGAGATCTGAACACAGTTGCAGCGCAGCCTCGGCAAATGCTGAGACATGAAACATGCCACCGGCAATGGTGAGTTTCATGTGTATTCTTCGTCGTGTCAACATGATCATGCCTTGTGGCTGGTCCTTGGGCTTCGAGAATTTACTCGCACATTCGCACCTGTAGCAGCATGTCTTAGCAACAGGCACGGGAATGGGGGTTGGGCTGAGGCTGCTGCACTGTCGGTCCATGTCGCACCAAGGCAATCGCCTCCTTACGCCCTTCCGGTCTATTCCCATCTCTTTGTGGCAGCTTGTCTCAGATATCAACTGGTCGCAGATTGAACATTGATCGCTCTTCTTGAAGCCGCCTCCCTTGCCACCAAGGTGGGTTTTCACAACCACAACCACAGCAGCCGAGCAGCATTGGAGGTACACGAAGGGGAGCCATGAACTGCTGGCAGCCATTTTCTGCGATACTTGTAGATCTCCGGCTGTAGGATGGAGTCCAGAAGCAGGTGTCACAGAGACAAGCGACAGAAAGGGAGGGGGAGGAGAATTCATCAACATGTTCGGTTCTAATTGGGATGACCTGCATCGACTTGGTGTTGAAAGGTGTTGACAGTGTCGAGAGTCCCTACGAAACTTGGGCCCCACATCCCGAAGCCGGGAATCCCAAAACCGAAGCTCACCACACCCTGGCAGCTGAGGTGGGATATGGCGACATGGCGCCCACATCCCACGTCGGCCGAGCCATAGGTGTCTTGTGCTTCTACACAGGCCGGTTTGGGGTCTAGGGTTTAGGGTTTAGGGCTTAGGGTTTAGGTTTTAGGGTTTAGGGTTGGGTGTGCGAACATACTGTTCGCATCGCTTCGGGGTAGCGAGGGAAGGCTAGCATGCACAGAGGCGGTGGGCCATGGCAGTCCGAGAATCGTGGGGCGATTTGGTGGGCAAAGGTGTTGGCGGAAGAAGAGTCAGTGCACCAAAGCCTTATATGATGGTGCTTTATCGAACGGTAGTCACTGTAGACAAGACCAAGCCAATTTTGACAAAAAGATATTCTGATTCTGCCTCTTCTGAATGTTGCTCCCGTGCCAGGAATCATCTTCCTTGCCTTGCCTATAGGCCAGCGGTGGTCCTTCTGGCTTCGGAGTAGGACGTAGAGTCTTGTCATGGGGTATTGAATATTCAGGTTCCGACAGATGTTGGGTTTCAGTTGTCGGCTCCTTGGCGGGTGCAGTGAGAGTTTGGTCGTAGGAACCTGTGTGGCTTCAGTGGCTCGGGTGAGAGCTCTGCAGATTTCACGCGAGGAAGATAGTCTCGGGTTAGATATCCCGATGACGTCGCCGGAAGGCAATGAACAAGTCTGCCAAGCACCCAACTTTCTCGGGAATGATTTATCGGCCCACCAAGATGTGCTTAAACCTCAGACCCAGAAGCTCTAGCCTTGGAATCTCTTGCTGTTTCGGATTTCAATGACTTCCCAAGGTGGGCCTGAGAGCTTTTTGGGGCTCAAGGACCCGTTGCAGTTTTGGTTCGGGCATGTCAAGACTCCGTGGGCCTTTCAAGAGGGCCTGAGAAGCCGTGGCATTTCCTGTGCGATGCTGCGCCCTTTGACAAACCTGGGCGGAAGCTTTTTCCATCCCACAGTCTGAAAAGTGGGAGTTAAACGAGGAGGAGGCGTGCAAGCAGAGCTCAAAGTGCATAACTCATCACCACTACACCAACAAAGGCATCTCCCAATTCACCGGCCCTTATCCTATGCCCTTCTGAACCCCCAGCCCCAAGTCCTAGGCCAAAGCTCCTGACCCCTGAGCTCCAAGCGGCAGGCGTTCTTAGCTCGAACTTCGAGGCCGCCTACGCGAGGCACCTGGAACGGCCTGGGCCCTGGACCCCTGAAAGAGGGGCTTTCGTTTCAGTGCTGGTACAGTGTTTTGCCCAGGTGCATGGTCGTTGCTGTTGTTTGTTCGTGCTTTTGCGGGCCGCCCCGGGGGGTGTGGGGAGTGGTGGGGTCGGCAGCCAGTATGAAGCTATATATTCAGCAACAGGACATGATCGTGGTACAGATGCCCATCAAAAAACACATATGACATGCCACACGCGCATACACTACCTTTGCAAGCGACAAATTTAATCGCTACGCGAACCCACCTCGGTGCAAGTTGAGACCCCGCCCTCTCCTTTGCCCCCTCTTCTTCCGTTCTTCGCCGCCTTCCCGGCCCTCCCTCCCACCCGGCTGCCACCGCAACCAGACCACAAAAGCCACAACTCCCATCCCCGCCGCCGGCCCAGCTCCACCGACCTCTCCTTCACTTCCCCTCCCCGCACCCGACACACTCTCTCGACCCCCACGTCGTGTATCTCCCAGACCGGGTCCGTAGAGAGCCAAAAACGCCTTTCTCAAATTCGCCACCTCAAATGTCTGGCAAGGAGAGTTGAGAGGATGGGTGGATACCAAATCTACATTCCTGGAAGCCTCGGCGGACGAAGCAGACAGATATGCAGACCTACACTCGTGCCGACACATATGCGCGCAAGCGTGTAATGGACTGTCCAAAATGTATAGACATGTCCGCGCCAGCTCTCAGATAGAGACTTGTGTACGTCTTCTGATTCTTCCAGTCCATGGCCGACTTTACCAACGTGCCTTCTTGATTCTTGTGAGTGGCGATGTGGGCAAGGAATGGGTGGGTGGGCGGGTGAGCGGGGGGGTGGGTGGGTGGGTGGGTGGGTGGGCGGGTGGGTGGGGGGTGTTTGGAGTAGTACTGTGGCAGCAGGGTTTCTGTTGCATCATACGAACCTTAACGTTGAGTCGACAGCACCTTTGCTTAATGGCCTTCGCATCGATGTTGGGATCAATAGGTGCTGTAAATTAGAGTCACCATATCCAGTGCTACAGAGTTCAGACGAAGATTGCGTCTATGCTCGACGAACCTGCAAAGCCCTCATTACCTATCCTGAAGTTGTCCATGTCGATGCAACCGCCGAGGAAGCGAAAGAATGCGCCCAAGTTGCTAGAGGCCGCAAGGGCCTAATTAGTGGACAAAGCCATGAGTCCCGGTTGGCCGTGTCGAGCCGTCCCTCCTCTTAAGGTAAGGTTCAGCTTAGCTTGTGTTTCTATCTGTTACGTTTACTGCAGCATGTCATGAGAGATGGAACAAGCCACTGCCAGCTGCGTTTCCAAGAGTTGTGTTATTCTTAAGACGAACCGCGACATCTGCAGGGAGAAGGGGTCGTCCCTTCAAGACCAATGGTTCTTGTAGAAGGTAGCAGACTACAAGCGTTCGCAACAAGAGAGGCATCAGCCGTGGTGCAAATGTGACGAAGAGTATTACCAACGTCTAACACTGCATCGGCCACTGCCAATGTCTAAGGCATTCTAAAACTAACATCGCAATGGAACGTCGTTACATTGTTGTTTATATACAGCATATGGGAGTTTCCTGAAGTTGTACTTATGAACTCTACAAGCCAACGACTAAATAAATAGATAAATAAATGGGTATGTCGGCGTGTCTCGGCATGTATATGTGTAGGTATGCACACGAAGCAGTCAAATTACACATACAGGCATGCATGTATACGTACATGCATCTGCAGATATATGCATCTGTATGTACATCGATACACCCAGTCTGCGAAAATGCTCTCCACTGCTATCATGTATTCTCCCATGACCAGCCCACTTCCCCGAAAAGACACCACATCGACCTTCTGAATCGTACAGAAGCTTGGATAGGTGGCAGAACAGCACCTTCTGCCCATTGCGCCACTAGCTGTCAAGAAGTGCGCCGACTGCTTTGGGGGGGAAGGGTAAGGACGTTCGGGGTTTTGGATTGGGACACCCCTCAGTCGGGTCCATGCAGGGAGGTGGACCTTTGGCCTCATTCTCTTTGGCTCCTGGAATTTATTAATTTACCTATACAAGACGTGAACAGCAGAAGACAGGTAACATTATTGATTCTTGTGGCCTTGCCGGGGCCAGGTGGCGGTGGCGGTGGCTGATGGTCGTTGTCGTAGTAGTAGCACTACTTGAGGTCCAGGAGGATCAGCAGGACAACCAGCAAACGACCTCAGTCTCATGCAAGCACGAGTGACGAGTGCTCAGAACAACATTGGCAACGACACCAACAGTAGGAACTTCATCCGTTGAAGCCTTGATCAGACCGCAGTAATGGCACAAACTTCTTTTTTTACAACCCAGTGGCCGAGAGAACGGTGTCTTAAGACGATTCTTATCCATGTCTGGCGAAAGCTCATCAGGATTGACAGGCCGGACAATTCTGGACGAAGAGACATTCTGGGTTACGTAACAGACACGGTTCAGCAATCTCAGGAATCGTTGCTAGCTGCGCCAAACAGCTGCAGACCCTGCCAGGAGCATGTTCTATCAGCTCTCCGGCACAGACAGAGAGGGACTGAGGAGGAACCCCGTGGGCCGAGAGCTTGATTTCTGTGCTCAAGAAATCTGTAGCACCCGCTGTTCCTGATGCTGAGTCGCATGCGGCTCCTGCTGGTGTGCAAATTTGCACTGGAGCTATTGGTGTCAGTGTTGTCGTACCTGCATCCGGGTCCTTGCTGCGAAGCCGTGTCTCTCTGTGTCAAGTTGCGAGACATTACAACTGCAGTCCAAGTGTCTCTACAGGCCCAACAGCAGCGCGCAACCGACAGGCACAAACACTGAAATCAGCAGGCAAAGCAGAACCCCCTCAACGATGCGCGCAACCGAAGCACTGCACCCAGAATTGTTCATTACGAAGCGCGCAGGACCGTTTTCAAGGTCCTCAATGACCCATCGTCAAGCGAAGTGGCAAAGCCTCCCGGCATGATGCCAGTTTACGGTTAAAGTCGGCCAACGATTACATCATCGACTGCAGCCAGGGCACAAGTTGAACCTAAATGGTATTCATCTGCCTATGTTTGTTCAGTGAGATATTGATGGGTCTATGTCCAGTGACCAGTGATGTAAGTGCTTGCTGATAAGACTAGACACCCGATAGACTATATCGCCGTTACGAGCTGTGGATCCTCCTTCCCTGTGGGCCCTAACAGCCAAGCATGGCTTAGTTCCCAACAGACCAGTCAAAGTCGCAATTGGGGCATCTGAGCTTCACGATCAATTCCTTCTAGCTACTGCGTTCGGTGCCATCTTCGGGGGAAACATGACAATAGACGGGGTTTCCGGCTAGGCTTTCATGACGAAGATCTGGATCTCGGGTTCTGATGGAGCTATTGGGATTTAGAGGGGGTATGCTCAGGCGGTAAACTTTAGGGGCACAAGGAACTGGTATACAGACCCGATGGTATAGAGACCCTAGGCATTGTCGAGAGTTCTTCGGCGTCAATACCCGTTAACTAGCCGGTACATGGCGGAAAACGGCTGCTTGCAAGTTAAGACATTGCTGCAGAAACTGCAACGAACCTCGCGTGAAGTTGTTGGTTGCACTGGTTATCACCATCGGCCATTTGCTGGATTCCAGACTTTTCATGAGCACATTCGTTCCGTGCAGCCCGCGTGTCCCCTACCTCAAACCCTAAACAAACTCTAGAACCCTCTATACGAACATTTTACGTTGTATGTTCGTACATACATGCAAAAAAAAATATATATATATATGTATATATATATACATACAGATATACACATATATATATGTGTGTGTATATATATTTGTATACACAGACTCATGTGTATGTGTGTGTATATATACACACATGCGCATCGAACAATGGTAATAAGAATTACAGTGCCCGCCTACAGGCCCCAAGACCCCGAAACCGTAGTCGCTCTGCCAAGTGTTCGAAGGTGGGCCTCCTATTTCATCACCGCGGTGATTTTAGTGACGACGGCCGAATCCCTGGAAGGTAATCTACTATTAGAGGGGCCCTTTGGTGTTTTACTCAAGTGGAGTGCTATCAAGGGTTCTTTTCAAGGCACTATAATCACGTTAATTGGAGGGACTTTTAATTCGGTAAACTAGACTAGGTTTTGGGGGCTATATAATTCTATGGTTCTCAATACGGAGGCCTAGGAATGATATAGGCAGTTATCTACTGGGTGCGCAGGATCTCGGATAGCTCCGGGCATGGGTTGTGGGTTTAGGGGTCGAGGGATTGGAGTTTTCTTTGCGCCTTTTAAACCTTGAGGTTTACCGACGATGACTGGGGTTTGGGTTTACGGCGGTCGTTAGAAGTTAGGGTTGAGGTCAAGGTTCAGGGCACCTCGGCTGGGATCCTTAGAGTTGTTTCTGGAGCTCCCATGCATCTCCAGAAGAGGCCATAGCTTCGGATCTACATGGTGCTGACTGGAAAGACTTCGCTGCAGGCATTATGGAAGAGTAGCCGGAAATTGATGGAAGCAGCAGTCAGATTGAGTCAGGTTCTCCGATACTCATACTCATGCTTGTGTCGTTTTGGCTGCAATCGGATTCTAGACTGTGGCAGCTGGGCACAGCAGCGAGCTTGTGCCTCAAGCATTTCGGATGCAGGGTTCCGGACCCCGGGATGCCGAGGTCAGCATGCTCTTGGAGTCTATACCGGAGCTCAGTCACGTACCTGACGCATGCGACTTCGCCTGCAGCTGAAGAGTTTGAGGGACCCATCTTTGTGGATAGTCGCGCATGAGATAGGGGAGGGAGGTAACCTTGAGCGGGGTTGACATGTTGGGAAACTTACGATCCCAAGCAGTGATACTTTATAGCCTCTTTTCGACGTTAGAAAGAGGGTCAATCAGCCGGGGAACATGTTCCGGAAAACTACTATCCCAAGGCTGGAAAGAGGAGTGCTAATTCCCACGCCTTCAATTCTTCACCCCCACAAGTCCCAATCGAAATCCAAGGCTGCAAAGCCCAAAACATAAGATCTAAGCCAATCTAAGCTAGCCCGGCACGAGTTCCGGCCACTGCCTGTTACTCTCTATAGACCCCCTGAATCCTAGACCCGAAACCCTTTCCAGAGACCTGAGGCGACAGCCTCGTGACTGTCGAAAACTGCCGGCCGCAGCCGTCGCAAGCGACCCTTGGCTAGGGTTTAGGGTTTCTAGAACTTGGTTATAAGTACGGTTGGTTATAAGTAGGTGAAAAGTAAACCGAACCCCCAAGTAGAGTCCGTTGCAGAGTCTGGGTTGAATAGGGTTTTATCGCTCAATTAGGGCTTTAGATATTTCCAGGGATTGGGCTTCATGGTTGCATCTAGGAAGGGTGGTGAGGTGCTGTGGCGATGTGAATCTGACAGATCTGCTGCCGTTTCCACGGGTATTGAGTCGCTGCTTGTGCTGCTGCCAGCGTGGTTGTTGTTATTGGCTAGCGGCTAGCGCCAGCATTCTTCTTGCTGCAGTTTTTACACCTGCTGCTGGTGGTTCTCGCGCAGCTGAATCGCAGCGCAGCAGTCCTGCTGCGATCATGTTGACAGTACTCGGCGACAAAAAGAGCTCGACCCTAATCCCCTTAAGGCTAAAGTGCCCTAAAGCCTGCTTGATGGTTTGGGAGGGCTCTGGGGCAGCAGAGTCTGGGAGTCTGCCGGAGTTCATGCGTTCATGTGAGTCCTGAGCTCAAGTGGTTCAGAACATCGACGTATCAGGAAGGTTTGAACTTAAAGGAGTTTGTATGGTTCCGGCGTCAGGGCCAACGATGAAGTTTCTGTTGTGTTTGCGTGTATTTGCCTTCCAGCCGTGATTCTTTTGATCGCATGGTGCAGTGCCTGACTTCAGGGGTTAAGCTGCCTAAATTCTCCATGCTCAGGTTTTTCCAGATAGAGTTGGCGGCTTGTCTGCACTTAAACTCTTGACACCCGGTGGAGCTCTGCCAAGCACATGCCCGCATACACTTGGCGCTTGAGAGATTCCGAGAATAGCCGGGGCCGGGGGTGTCATAATGTGGACCCCAAAGTAAGGGACCCCCACTACTGGATGCAATCCCAAGCCGGTAGCAACCAGCCGTTCTATTTCCTGCCACTATTGGTGATGATGTTTTTCCTTGTGGGTGTACGGATAGCATCAGTCAAAATCAGTCGTCATTCGTCGAAAGCGGCGGTGCTTTTGGAAGAGCCACACTGCTGTCACCTGCAGTGGCTTAGCGATGATAGTAGGCAGAGGCAATAGAGCTCAAAAGACCAGCAAGAGTGATGGCGGCAGTGACGATGATGCTGCTCATGATGTTGATGATGGTAATGGTGATGCTGCTGGTGAAGATCATGATGATGGTGGTGATGATGATGATGGTGACGATGATGATAAAATCTGCTGGCGCTGTTGATGGTGGCGGCGCTGAAGATGGTGAAGATCTTCCAGGTGAAGAAAGGAAGGTGCGCATGTTCGAGAGTTCCGAGTCTCGAGGGCCAGGGCTGCGAGTGTAGGCCCGTTCAGGTTTGTGTTGGAGGGCTCTCGAAGCCCAGAGTCCCGAAATGAAGACACAGCATGAAGGAGCGGCTCATACAACAAGAAATGGACAAGCTCATGACATGAGACACTGGAACTGCCTCTGGGTATCACAGGGTCGCTTGAGGTTTGCATTATTATCTTCACCGTGGACTACGTCCTTCGCATCTGCACTGCTCATGCGATGACTGCACGTGAGCTTGGCGTGCCATGGCATGACATTTTCAGGCATTTTAATTTGGAACCAGTAGGTCCTTCCGCGGAAAGGCGGCAGAGGCTGCCGCAACAACAACGGCAGTGGTGATAAAGAGCAAAATGAACTACAACCGCCGCCGCCGCCACAACCACCACCAACTCTACCAGGACTACTAGAGTACTAGTACTACTGCTGCTGCTACTACTGCTACTGCTACTACTACAACTACAACTACTGCTA